ACTCTTTGCAGTGCTGAAAAGGCTGAAACTGAGAAAATAAAATAGGATGTTTTTCCTTGTGTCCCGCCTGGGGCTGTTTGTCCCCGGGCGGGCTAGGTGATTATGCAGCCCCCCTTCTCAGGCTTGTAGGGGTTCTTATCATCTGGTACTCCTGTTATCAGGAGGTCGGTAGCAGACGCAGCCTCACACCACTCCATGATGTCCTTGGATGTCTTGGACACCTAAGAGAAACGGAGAAGGGTCAATAGAAGTTGGGATTATTTCAATTCAACATTCTACTTCAGTTCTATGGGACAGTATCAGTTTAGAGTGATACCTTTGTAATGCTACAGAGCTTCTCTATATGGACCCATTGATGGTACTTACAGGCTCCCTGGGTGTCGAGACCTCTTTCTTCAGCTGTTCCAGCTCCATCTTGAGGATGTCAATATCTGACATATCCCGAGCCATTTTTCCCTGAGAAGGAAGGAGGGGAGAGGACCCATTAGATAGGGCACACAAAATGAACATAAAACATTCACCATAACAAGTGCCTCTTATCTTGTAGCTGGTCAATAAAGATCATAATTAATCTATATCCACATTAGGGTATTTTGAATTTGTGAATGAATTCACTAATTGAACAGGTTGGCATACTTGTTTGATATTCTTGTATCAGTCTTCAACAAAGCACTTTAGTGTGTAAGCCCATGAACCCAGGTCTTCACCTTTCAAATCTTCACCTTTCAAATCCATATAATTCCTCTTTCTTAGGAATCTCATGCTGGGATGACCGGTCCAAGGCACCCTGGCCTGTTTTCTATTGCATGTGTGGTAAAATAACTATATGATGTCACAACAAGCTAAAGAAGGTTGCAGAACAGGATTATCCAATAAGAACACTATACTAAGCCTATACATTGTGTAACTTTGTATGGCCAGCCGCCAGGAATGCTACTCTAATAATATCTTGTTTTTAAATATAATTGATCTCTATGGGCATACACTGACACAGTAAAATACATCTTAGGTCAGATGGGAGACTTTGATGGGGTGGGGGCCACAAAAAATCTGAACTGATCATGAGGGGCCACAGTGGCTCGCTGGTCTCTTGACCGCAGAGAGACATTTTTTAAGTTGTAGAGTTAATTTCCTGCAATTCTACACATTTTGCCATGGGGACCTAATAACACCCCAACTGAGTTCCAAAATATATACAGTACATATTATATTTTGGGGGGAGGGAAATTCATTCGCAGGCCTACAAAAGGGGAGCCTTAGATATCTGACTGTATGGACAAACCAATGAACTATTGACATATCTGTTTCCATGGCCTTGTACTCAGTTGTGTCCTTTTTTGACTCTGCCCTATCCTAAAAGAATATGTCATACAACTGAACTTTTGAAATACATGAAGGCTATGTGGTTGGTGTTCTTTGTTTGGTACTACTTCAGTCCTACCCTCTACCAACACACTGTGCCAACATAATCAGGCAACCAGCCAAACCCAAAACAAGCAATTGCATGTCACATTAACAATTATAGCAGGTAAGGTAGTCACTGTGACAGTGGGTGGTGCAGACAACAGTTTTATTACATTGTGACTTCTAGCCACACTGAGCAAACTCACACTGCATTCAATCATTAATTTCTGTCCCAACAAGGCCATTTATATGGCCTATGAAAAGAAGAGGAAAGACAGACATTCAGTCTAAAAAGAGACCTCTGAGTTATGTCTAACAATAGTGAAAAGAACTCAGAGTAATCAATTACACAAATACATCGGTTAATTGATCCTATTAGAAATGTGATACTACATAACATGTAGTAGTATGGCTTGTCGACTCCGGTCAATAAAAAAAATCTATCCCTCAATTGAAAATCGAAAAGAAGTTCTAAATGCATAAATTGAATTCAATGAATTGCTCAATTGAGCTAGAATCTCCCTGAACACTGGTCCAGGCTAATGGCCAAGACTGTAGTTACATCTCCATCCTCTCCTCATCCTCTCCTCTGGGCATCACTCACCTATTGGTTGTGGGGACAGTCGATGCAGGGAAAGTGTAGTCTCTCGCCCTCTATAGGACCGTTGTGATTGGGTTGTCTCCCTCCTGAGTCCAACTGGCTTACCCTGTCCCTCAGCTCTCCTTTTCAGGGTGTTCTCCAGATGGCACGGTGACAGATTGGGAGGAGACTATTGCCCGGAAAAACATGCCCCCCTCCCTGTTCCTAATCAGATTAGTCTATAATAATTAGCTGGGCCAAATGTCAACCTCAAATTACATATGACCTTTGAGTATCACAGGAGGACATAGAGAGAGTATCAGCTTCAGCCAAATGCTCCCAAACCACAGGTCCTGGATCAGCTCTCACAATGCCAATCCTGACCTTTATCATGGGGTTTAGAAGTTTAAACTGGCCCTAGATCTGTGCTTATTATGAGCAACTTCCACTCTCACCAGAGGTCAAAAACACGGATATGAGCATTCTGATTGACCAGGAATCATGACCAGGTAATCATTTTAAAACAGCCTGGCCCACTTACAGACTTTCATTCACACACTGTCTCAGTGCCAAAATGAGGCCCTAATTCAATTGATTTGGAAAGGAAAACTGCACTGCACTTGGTTCACTCAGAATGTTAACTCTGTATTGTAAGGACAGGTGAGGATTGTGATGGATTTAATTGGGGGGTTAAAGTTCAGATTAGATAAGGGATGACAATAAGAACTATACAGTATAATATAGACATACTGTTTAATTGTCAGGCATGTTATGAGTTGGTTTCTAGGCAAGCCCCATTCAAACCCTTCTAGATCCTTCAGGACTTCACTTGCACAAACAATTCCAATCCCTCATCCCTGTTTTGCCTCTTAACAGTGACCTTGCTGGTCGTCTGCTTCTGTCCCAACTGATCCTGAGGCCTGTCACATTTGGTATCTGGCCCCATGTCACCTCTTATTAAAGGAGCAATCTCAGACAGAGATACAGATGTAGGATCTTAATTTGATCAGTCTTTTGTTGTTAAAAAATGTCCTGCACAGCCAGAAATGCAAACTTATAGTGTATTCAATGTTTAAAAAGGCTTCTAAAGTTTGTAATTTTCACTTTAAAATGTTGGACTTATTTTCCTGCTGTAGCAAACTGGCTCAAATTAAGATCCTACATCTGTAAGCTGGAGAAATGTAACACTGTCAAACGTATAGATAGTCAGTTCTTGCATCTATGAAAATGATATTTTTAACCATGTTTTGAAGCTATACACTGATGGTTTACAATTACATTATTTACAAATAATTTAGTTAAACAATCTAATATTTTGGATTGTGATGGAGAAAGACTGTTGAACTAATCTCATGAGGCATTTATTAATGATATTCTTCAAATATCAATGACTAAATCATCAATCCAAAATTGTGTATGAATCCCAGATTGGCCCTTTAAAGGCCACATCCTGAATGAGCAACTCTTTCAGCCCAGAGACAAATTGCTTCCTGAGTCAAATCCTCCCAATCCCATTTCAGAGTCTTGTCTGTCTTAATCCATTAGATTAATGACTGAACCCTGTAACTTCCTCTTGTAAGTGTGGAAGGCGGGGGGGGGGGATCTAAAATAGAATATTGTGTGACCACTGTGTTACAATACACATTGCAGCTGACACACACACACAAACGCAGTTTTATTTTCGTGAAATTTCAGGACTTTTTGGGGAGTACATTTTTTAGTTTGGGAGTACAAATATTTTCCCTTAACCTAACAAAAACCCTAACCTTAAACTTAAAATTGCATTTGAAGTTCAGATTTTTACATTTTTTATTGTTTTCCTACCTTGTCAGGATATTCGGGTGAATTGTTAGGACATTGGTGTCCTGATAAAGTAGGAAAACAAGCACACACACACACTCAAGATCAACCACCATGTTTACTAAGACCTCTCTCTCTCACACACAAACATAAATTAATTGCTGGATTACGTGTGATTTTAGGCTTGTGTGCGTCTGCTCAGCCATTGAAACCCATTTCATGAAGCTCCCGACAAACAGTTATTGTGCTGACGTTGCTTCCAGAGGCAGTTTGGAACTCGGTAGTGAGTGTTGTAACCGAGGACAGACGAGTTTTACGCGCTACGCGCTTCAGCACTCGGCGGTCCCGTTCTGTAACTTGTGTGGCCTATCTCCTCGCGGCTGAGCCGTTATTGCAGCTAGACGTTTCCACATCACAATAACAGCACTTACAGTTGACCCGGGCAGCTCTAGCATAGCAGAAATTTGACGAAATGACTTGTTGTAAGGGTGGCATCCTATGACGGTGCCACGTTGCAAGTCACTGAGCTCTTCATTAAGGCCATTCTACTGCCAATGTTTGTCTACGGCGATTGCATGACTGTGTGCTCGATTTTATACACCGGTCAGCAACGGGTGTAGCTGAAATAGTAAGCATTCAGTTTTCAACAATTACATTACATTTGTAATTTGTTTATTCAAACTGTAGATGGCGGGTGAAAGGGTCACACAGTAAAGAAACACATTTCATCTGAAATAATCCCAACGTAAATTAATGAAACTATTACAATGTAAATGTACTTTTAATCCATCGGTCTGCATATTTCAAGACATGGCATATGATGACCTGATGGGTTGGATGATACTTTTCTCGTCAATCATCTTGAAAAAAATGTATACTTAAAAACTGGAAATCAACCAATCCTCCAAATGCTTTATTATCTAAATGTTGAAAGTGCGTAGGCAACAAAGAGAAACAAAATGGTGCAGTTTGAGGCCATGTGGCTGAGAGTGATGAGAGTGCTGGAGATGGGGGTGTGAGCAGGTGGATCTTGGTAGGGGTGATGTTATCTGTATGTTGTCATTTGTATATGGATGTTAACCTGTATGAGATTAGGGCTTGAGCTGCTTCCCCATAGAGAATGATAGAGGCCTCTAGTGGCCAAAAGGCCATTTTAGCATGACCAGCGCGATTGAGGGCTTCCACCATGCTTCCGCCATTTTAAAGTAGTGGGGATTCCTATGGGTTGTAGCCTCAATAGAGCTGCCCATGCTGTCACAGATGATATAATGGCACATATATAAAAGAGGAGTCCTCTATCTCTATGTGCTTGCCATAAAACAGCTGCATTTCTATACAGTCTGTTCACTCATCAGTAGTTATGAAGTAGAGGAGATGAGGAAACAGGCAACAACAAAAAAACAGTGAAACAAATTAACAGAAATAACAGCTGTCACGCTAACCTGTCCAACAAGTACTGTAGCAACTAAGGGGACAGATCAAGTTGGTTGTTAAGTCATTAAGTCAAACTGTAGGACTCAGGATAAACATTTAATGATTAAAGAGGCATATTGATATCTTCTAAACGTTTCGTGGTGCACCAAGTAACAGTAACATTTTAAATAGACGGTGCAAGAAAGAGCATTTTGCTAGAAAGATCATTATTTCTGTACATATTTATGAACATATATGTATTGAGAACATTCCATTTTGTTTAGAAAACACTCTGTTAGAATGCTCCATTAGTTTAATCCATGTGACATCACTCCTGTGACCACATAACTCAGTAGAGGAGAAAGTACCTAGAGCAACACAGTTTTTAGGCCATTATAAATGTGACTCTGTAAAACCTACATTTTTTGAAGAGAACTGCGCCACTACAGACGGGATGCCGCAATTACATATTTGGATTATTGCACCTCACTATTGCACCACTATTTTCACTGTTTACTTCTTTGTAAACTATCCATAACGGATACATTTCAGGTGGTTCTTGAAGAAGTGGTGGGCTAGTTTGTCTTCTATGTCTTTTGATTGTTGATTTTGGAACGATGAGTACTTTGTGTTTTCAATTTTGGGTTGGTGGTCGATGCTGACATGACTACAGCTGGCAACCAGCAAACTGCCCAACCCATCCATGAAGAACTCTGAAACAGACATATGGACAGGGAAAATGGAATGGACCAAATATGAATTACCAAAGACAGAGCAGTGCCTTAAGCATAATAACAGCAACATGTTCATAATAATCTATATAAAAAATTGACTTCTTCAAAACTTACCACACGTAACCCAACAACACTGAAACTGAACATCACTCTCGAGTTTGTCCCTCTGTCTTTCTTATTGACACAGCTTTCCAGATTTCCTATTGACGTAGTTTACAGACTTGCTGCAATCTGTCGATGTGCCGTTGAGCAAGGACTTAACCCTAATTGCTCCTGCAAGTCACTCTGGATAAGAGTGTCTGCTAAATGACTAAAATGTAAATGTAAAATGTGTGCAACTGTTTTTACTTGGGTTTTATCTGCCATCTTAGCATAGGATGAACTTTAATGTCCCTGGTGGGAAAATTATCTTAAGACACACAGTGCTGCTATATACAGTACAAAATAGATTGACTGTACATTACACACTCAACATTATACATATATTATACGATACCTCTGTCATACACATTGTGCACTTCTCATACTGTTTATGCATAATACATATTGGCCAAGTCTCCCTCCTAAAATAATCAAGAAGGAGAAAATAAATAAATACAGTGGGGGAGAACAAGTATTTGATACACTGCCGATTTTGCAGGTTTTCCTACTTACAAAGCATGTAGAGGTCTGTCATTTTTTATCATAGGTACACTTCAACTGTGAGAGACGGAATCTAAAACAAAAATCCAGAAAATTACATTGTATGATTTTTTAAGTAATTAATTTGCATTTTATTGCATGACATAAGTATTTGATACATCAGAAAAGCAGAACTTAATATTTGGTACAGAAACCTTTGTTTGCAATTACAGAGATCATACGTTTCCTGTAGGTCTTGACCAGGTTTGCACACACTGCAGCAGGGATTTTGGCCCACTCCTCCATACAGACCTTCTCTAGATCCTTCAGGTTTCGGGGCTGTCGCTGGGCAATACGGACTTTCAACTCCCTCCAAAGATTTTCTATTGGTTTCAGGTCTGGAGACTGGCTAGGCCACTCCAGGACCTTGAGATGCTTCTTACGGAGCCACTCCTTAGTTGCCCTGGCTGTGTGTTTCGGGTCGTTGTCATGCTGGAAGACCCAGCCACGACCCATCTTCAATGCTCTTACATTTTACATTTGAGTCATTTAGCAGACGCTCTTATCCAGAGCTCTTACTGAGGGAAGGTGGTTGTTGGCCAAGATCTCGCAATACATGGCCCCATCCATCCTCCCCTCAATACGGTGCAGTCGTCCTGTCCCCTTTGCAGAAAAGCATCCCCAAAGAATGATGTTTCCACCTCCATGCTTCATGGTTGGGATGGTGTTCTTGGGGTTGTACTCATCCTTCTTCTTCCTCCAAACACGGCGAGTGGAGTTTAGACCAAAAAGCTCTATTTTTGTTTCATCAGACCACATGACCTTTTCCCATTCCTCCTCTGGATCATCCAGATGGTCATTGGCAAACTTCAGACGGGCTTGGACATGCGCTGGCTTGAGCAGGGGGACCTTGCGTGTGCTGCATGATTTTAATCCATGACGGCGTAGTGTGTTACTAATGGTTTTCTTTGAGACTGTGGTCCCAGCTCTCTTCAGGTCATTGACCAGGTCCTGCCGTGTAGTTCTGGGCTGATCCCTCACCTTCCTCATGATCATTGATGCCCCACGAGGTGAGAACTTGCATGGAGCCCCAGACCGAGGGTGATTGACCGTCATCTTGAACTTCTTCCATTTTCTAATAATTGCGCCAACAGTTGTTGCCTTCTCACCAAGCTGCTTGCCTATTGTCCTGTAGCCCATCCCAGCCTTGTGCAGGTCTACAATTTTATCCCTGATGTCCTTACACAGCTCTCTGGTTTTGGCCATTGTGGAGAGGTTGGAGTCTGTTTAATTGAGTGTGTGGACAGGTGTCTTTTATACAGGTAACAAGTTCAAACAGGTGCAGGTAATACAGGTAATGAGTGGAGAACAGGAGGGCTTCTTAAAGAAAAACTAACAGGTCTGTGAGAGCCGGAATTCTTACTGGTTGGTAGGTGATCAATACTTATGTCATGCAATAAAATGCAAATGAATTACTTAAAAATCATACAATGTGATTTTCTGAATTTTTGTTTTAGATTCCGTCTCTCACAGTTGAAGTGTACCTATGATAAAAATTACAGACCTCTACATGCTTTGTAAGTAGGAAAACCTGCAAAATCGGCAGTGTATCAAATACTTGTTCTCCCTACTGTACATATATACATTTAAAAAAGTATCCCTCCTAATGGAGATCTTCAGACCTTAGCGGGACTTCCTGGATAAATAAAGGTAAACATTATTTATTTTTTTAAACGCCCACCTGAATGCGCCACTCTCTTCAGCCGGGGGTCAAAGCCCACTTTGAGCACGGCATCGGTGCGACCAAGGAATAAGTTGACCACCCCGCTGGTGAAGGAGCAGGTGGGGAAGCCTGGAACAGGTTGGTATTTCACTGCACCATTTCTGTTCAGACAACCCCCGTCCTCACCATTACCCTCCTCGTACACCAAAGAGAAGTAGAACTGGCCGTGGCCCGCCACAGAGCCGCCCACCTGATCACAGGAGGCAGAGAACAGAGCAGGTTCACATGTAGTAATAATAATAATAATAATTCTTCATTTAATTTGTAAAGCGCATTTCTCAGACCCAATGCGTAGAAAAAAAATACAATAGAAACAATCCAAAACACAGAGAACATAGCACTTTTTTTTCTTCATAAGACTGTATCTAGAACCTAAAAGGGTTATTCTGCTGTCCCCATAGGAGAACCCTTTGAATAACTATTTTTATTTATAGGTAGAACCCTTTTCAGTTCCATGTAGAAACCATTCCACAGAGGGTTCTACATGGAACCCAAAAGGGTTCTACCTGTAACCAAAAAGGGTTCTACCTTGAACCAAATTGGGTTATCCTATGGGGACAGCTGAAGAACCCTTTTGGAATCCTTTTTTCCAAGAGTGTGGAACACAGACAACAAACAAAGCTATATTCACGTGTTGTCAGATCCAGAGGACATGAGAATAGAATTCGCAGAGGTCCTTGAAAGCTTTTCTGAACAGCAGGGTATTGAGCTGTGCCTTAAACGAGGACAGAGACTCTGCAGCCCTAACAGTGTATGGAAGTGTGTTCCACAGCCGCAGAGCCGCACAACTGAAAGCCCTGTCACATAGTTATTAGTCTGCTGAAGGGCTGCTGAAGGGAGGTGGACCTGGTGGAGCGAAATGTGCGTGTGGGGCAGGAGGGTAGAATGAGGTCAGACAGGTACTTGGGTCCAGAGTTGTGGATAGCTTAGTCGGTGAGAAGCAGGATTTTGAAGTGGATGTGTGAGCGTATAGGGAGCCAGTGGAGGTTGAACAGCACTGGAGTGATGTGCTCGCAGGGTAGGTGTGAGGACACGTGCAGCACAGTTTTGGACATATTGTAGCCTGTTTAGGCACTTGGCAGATGTAACAATAAACAGGGCATTACAATAGCCCAGACAGGATGAGATAAAGGAGTGGATGAGTCGCTCAGCTGCAGGCTGTGACAGCATAGGTTGTAAACTGGCAATGTTCCATAGATAGAAAAATGTGACTTTGGTCAGACTTTTGATGAGGGCCTCAAAACGAGAGCTGGTTGTCAAGTATCACACCAAGGTTTTGAACCTCACTGGAGGGGAGGACCTTGACACCATCAATATCGTGAAGAGAAAGTGTTGGTTGAGAGTTGTGTTACCACTGAATTCCAGCCCCAGTCTAAGCAAAACAGGTAATACCTTTTCTAGCCTGGTGACAGATCGGGGATCAGGTTACAGTTACTCTGCTCACCACGTCTAGTTCTGGTGTGGCCTCCATCACCTCCACCAGATTCTCGATCTTGGTTTTGTCTGTGAACAGGAAGTCGTCATCGACCCAGATAAAGTACTTGGTAGTGACCTGAGAGACAGCCAGGTTCCTGCCAGCAAACCAGCCCTTTGGGAAGGAAAATGTCCTCAAAATTACTTTGTAGCAGTGCCTATCTGTGATAAAAACATCCTATAAAAAAAAGAACGGTAGACTTGTTAATTGCAGAATGTGTTCCCGACTCAATAGTTCATCATCAAAAGTCTTTGGGTGCAGGGTTCTAAAGGCATACAGATGTAGGATCTTAATTTGACCAGCAAAGGGATTTGAAAGTTTAGTACATAATGTTGCTTGATCAGTGGTTAGGCTATTAGCTGGCCAAAATTATGCTACATAAAAAGTGCAATACAGTTAATATTACCATGTGTTAGCACAGGTTTTCAGTGAATTTATGTAAATCACAAAGCTTATCTGTATTTCCTGCGGCGCAAGAAAATTCCCAGCAACAGTGATCAAATTAAGATCCTACACCTGTATACGATAGGAAAGGAAACCCTGCACTAACTGAAATATAATGTTCTTTAGCAGCTGCAGTTGTCTAACAAATGGACGGGTTCTGGCGACAACTTCTTTAGCGGTTGGAGAACAATAGGCATGCACCTATTATTTCTAGGTGATGTCAAATTGTCATACTGCTTTTCTTCATATTTAACATTTATTATGTACATGATAAAAATTCAAATTAAATTCCACAACATATTCACAACGGTTGGCATGATTGTACACTGAGTATACAAAACATTAAGGACACCTCCTCTTTCAATGACATAGATTGACCAAGTGAAAGCTATGATCCCTTATTGATGTCACTTGTTAAATCCACTTCAATCAGTGAGTACGTTTACATGCACACTAATAATTGGATATTAAACTGATTATGGCATTAGGCAGATTCTGCAATAGCCATGTAAACACCTTACTCTGCTTATCTTAATCGGCGTAAGGTCAAAATCGAAGTAAGCATACGCCGATTAATACACCTTGTTTTCTGAGCAATCTTTCGAATTATTAGGACATATAAACACCTTAAATCAGCGTTCCAGAGGTATTTGATTTGCGCATGTGATAGCACCAGCCGAGCGAGCCTCCCTCTTTAGCGCGAGTTAAGTGTGTTCGGAACAACTGAATGTATGCCTCTTAGAAGTAGTTCACATACAAACTTTATATGTCCGAACTCAGAATAAAACATGCTTCCCAAAAATAACATGCTCGCTGTGGTAGAACGTTTATTTTGATTGGCGATTGTCTGCATTTATCAAAGTCGCATTAGGTAGCCTGATTTCAGGTGTGTCCATGTCAACAGGATTGTTAGGGAAATCTTTAGGGGGGGCTGGTGGGAGGAGCTATAGGAGGATGGGCTCATTGTAATGGCTGGAATGGAATAATTTGGAACGGAGTCAAATGTGGTTTCCTTGTGTTTGATACCATTCCATTAATTTCATTCCAGCCATTACAATGAGCCTGTCCTCCTACAGCTCTTCCCACCAGCCTCCACTGCTCAGTATACTTTGACAGTAAAAATAAAGTCTGATTCTGACATGGTTAGATTGATGAAAGCAATTTACATTACTGGAGTTAGCAGAATCTTTTTTAATACCACACAAATGACCGAAATGACAGGCTACCCTGACACTGACAAACAATAGTGATTTTAGCTATATTGTTACAGAATAGCCTTTTTAACCATTGTAGCACAAAAACTACAACCAGTTTCTATGTTGATAAGGCTAATAAGAAAATATGTAAAATGACTTGAATATGGCAAAGGTGTAACAATTTGTATTTGCACCAGTAAGTGACTGAAATGAATCCTACAAATATTGATAATTGAAAAATATCTGCATTTCTTTCAATTGCGGTTTTGTCACAGTACCTTCTAATGTCTCCTGCGTGGCTGGTGAGCATTGTGAAGGGAAACAGTCTTACCTTTCAGGAATGGGGTCATAAATTAAAGTTAGAACGAAAGTTAGAGCGAAATGTGTAGGAAGAAAACCAAAACCACTTAACTGCTGATAGCTCAGATTGACAGCGCTCTGACCCAATGAGAATGGGGGTGGGGGGGCAATCATATTTCAGTGGGGTTCCACCCCTGACACCCCACTGACAACGCACCTGTCCACATTGTAACCGTTTGCATCTACACATGGTAGTAAAATGTCTCTTAACCGTCCACTGTGTCTGCATCCTAGTGCCTCCCTGTATGCAGAATATTTGACAGCTATTCTTTCTAAATAGTATTTATTTTAAGACATATTGATGCCATAAGTCAATGGCATCACCTGTCAATGATTTTAGAGGGTGGGATAATGATGATTTAAATGGTTTCACTGTCCAGATCCGTCTACACTTGTAGGATATCCAAACACAATGTGTGTCTACCTCGGGAGGTGGTCAGGAAGATCTGATAACAATTAGATCACAATTAGTCTTTTAATCGTCTACACCAGTCTAAAAATGTGGCCACAATAAGAATGTGGACAAGATCAGGACAAAGGACGCATGTTACAGCCAGGTAGGCTGTGTTTACACCGGCTGCCCAATTGTAATATTTTTTTCCACTAATTGGTCTTTTGACCAATCACATCAGATCTTTTCACATCAGCTCTTTTTCAGAGCTGATATGATTGGTCAAAAGACCGATTAGTGAAAAGGAATGATCAGAATTGGGCTGCCTGTGTAAACTCAGCCAATAAAAAAGGGCCTTTTGTTTCAACAAAAGCCACCATGAAAGAGAAACATTTCTTTGACGTCATTTAAATAAACGTGCATGCTTACGAAGGCTGTTGCCAAAACCTGTTCATTTGTTTGCCTGCTGCTGCTGATAATGACAATTCAAATTTCTCAAGGCTTTGGTTGTTGTCTGCGTTCTTCTAAAAAAAATATATATTCAATTCCAGTGTGGCCGACTGGAGTTTGTTACAGATGTAGGATCTTAATTTGATGACTATTTTGTTGCTGAGAATTTTCCTGCACAGCTAACATTTGTAATTTGCACTTTAAAACTTCAGACTTAATTTTCCCTAACAAAAAAATCATCAACCCCTAAAAAATTTCCATTAATTATAATCCACATTTCCTATTGCTGCAGGATTATTTTCCTGCTGTAGCAAACTGGCTCAGATTAAGATCCTACATCTGTAAGTGTAGGTCTATGGCAGGTTGCCCTTATTGCACTGATCTGCTCCAGGAGACAAATACATACACCAGAGTAATTAAGAAATGCACATGTCACAATAATTGACAATAACATTTCAATAAAATGTTATTTATATTCCTTTCAACTCAGAAATTCAATCATACATGCTCAACATGTACAGTGGGTAAAAAAAAGTATTTAGTCAGCCACCAATTGTGCAAGTTCTCCCACTTAAAAAGATGAGAGAGGCATGTAATTTTCATCATAGGTACACGTCAACTATGACAGACAAAATGAGAAATATTTTTCCAGAAAATCACATTGTAGGATTTTTTATGAATTTATTTGCAAATTATGGTGGAAAATAAGTATTTGGTCAATAACAAAAGTTTCTCAATACTTTGTTATATACCCTTTGTTGGCAATGACACAGGTCAAACGTTTTCTGTAAGTCTTCACAAGGTTTTCACACACTGTTGCTGGTATTTTGGCCCATTCCTCCATGCAGATCTCCTCTAGAGCAGTGATGTTTTGGGGCTGTCGCTGGGCAACACGGACTTTCAACTCCCTCCAAAGATTTTCTATGGGGTTGAGATCTGGAGACTGGCTAGACCACTCCAGGACCTTGAAATGCTTCTTACGTAGCCACTCCTTCGTTGCACGGGCGGTGTGTTTGGGATCATTGTCATGCTGAAAGACCCAGCCATGTTTCATCTTCAATGCCCTTGCTGATGGGAGGAGGTTTTCACTCAGAATCTCACGATGCATGGCCCCATTCATTCTTTCCTTTACACGGATCAGTCGTCCTGGTCCCTTTGCAGAAAAACAGCCCCAAAGCATGATGTTTCCACCCCCATGCTTCACAGTAGGTATGGTGTTCTTTGGATGCAACTCAGCATTCTTTGTCCTCCAAACACGACGAGTTTTTACCAAAAAGTTATATTTTGGTTTCATCTGACCATATGACATTCTCCCAATCCTCTTCTGGATCATCCAAATGCACTCTAGCAAACTTCAGAGGGCCTGGACATGTACTGGCTTAAGCAGGGGGACACGTCTTGCACTGCAGGATTTGAGTCCCTGGCGGCGTAGTGTGTTACTGATGGTAGGCTTTGTTACTTTGGTCCCAGCTCTCTGCAGGTCATTCACTAGGTCCCCCCGTGTGGTTCTGGGATTTCTGCTCACCGTTCTTGTGATCATTTTGACCCCACGGGGTGAGATCTTGCATGGAGCCCCAGATCGAGGGAGATTATCAGTGGTCTTGTATGTCTTCCATTTCCTAATAATTGCTCCCACAGTTGATTTCTTCAAACCAAGCTGCTTACCTATTGCAGATTCAGTCTTCCCAGCCTGGTGCAGGTCTACAATTTTGTTTCTGGTGTCCTTTGACAGCTCTTTGGTCTTGGCCATAGTGGAGTTTGGAGTGTGACTGTTTGAGGTTGTGGACAGGTGTCTTTTATACTGATAACAAGTTCAAACAGGTGCCATTAATACAGGTAACGAGTGGAGGACAGAGGAGCCTCTTAAAGAAGAAGTTACAGGTCTGTGAGAGCCAGAAATCTTGCTTGTTTGTAGGTGACCAAATACTTATTTTCCACCATAATTTGCAAATAAATTCATTAAAAATCCTACAATGTGATTTTCTGGAGAAAAAATATCTGAATTTGTCTGTCATAGTTGACGTGTACCTATGATGAAAATTACAGGCCTCTCTCATCTTTTTAAGTGGGAGAATTTGCACAATTGGTGGCTGACTAAATACTTTTTTCCCCACTGTATTTTATGTCCATCATCAATTCACCTTGAATGTCCACTTTGAGGTTTTCAATTTGACCAAAACCAGCTTGTACCTGTGCTGGGGGCATGATGTACTGCTCAATGTTGGGGCCGTTCACTTTCTGTGGCTCCAGGCTGTCGTCGGCGATAATGATTTTGATGTCCTTGTAATAGGTCCTTATGCTACTGATGAGGACCTGCAGCTCAGTGTATCTCAGAAACGTCTTAGTGACGATGGTCACCCGGGAATTGATATCTGCAATGAGAGATCATCTCTGGTTTAATGCAGCGACATCCTAGATCCTACTGCAATTGGAGGTGGACGTGTCTATTTGATTTGTATACTGAACCAAAATATAAACGCAACATGTAAAGTGTTGGTCCCATGCTTCATGAGCTGAAATAAAATATCCCAGAAATGTTCCATACGCACAAAAAGCTTATTTCTATCAAATTTTGTGCACAAATTTGTTTACATCCCTGTTAGTGAGCATTTCTCCTTTGCCAAGATAATCCATCCACCTGACAGGTGTGGCATATCAAGAAGCTGATTAAACAGCATGATCATTACACAGGTGCACCTTGTGCTGGGGACAATAAAAGGCCACTCTAAAATATGCAGTTTTGTCACACAACACAATGCGACAGATGTCTCAAGTTATGAGGGAGCGTGCAATTGGCATGTTGACTGCAGGAATGTCCACCAGAGTTGTTGCCAGAGAATGTAATGTTCATTTCTCTACCATAAGCCGCCTCCAACGTCATTCTAGAGAATTTGACAGTACATCCAACCGGCCTCACAACCACAGACCACATGTAACCACGCCAGCACAGGACCTCCACATCTGGCTTCTTCACCTGCAGGATCATCTGAGACCAGCCACCCAGACAGCTGATGAAACTGTGGGTTTGCACAACCGATTAATTTCTGCACAAACTGTCAGAAACCGTCTCAGGGAAGCTCATCTGCATGCTCGTCGTCCTCACCAGCGTCTTGACCTGACTGCAGTTTGGCATCGTCACCGATTTCTGTGAGCAAATGCTCACCTTCGATGGCCACTGGCACACTGGAGAAGTATGCTCTTCATGGATGAATCCCGGTTTCAACTGTACCGGGCAGATGGCGAGCGGTTTGCTGAGGTCAACGTTGTGAACAAAGTGCCCCATAGTGGAGGTGGGGTTATGGTATGGGCAGGCACAAGCTACGAACACAATTGCATTTTATCGATGGCAATTTGAATGTACAGAGATACCATGACGAGATCCTGAGGCCCATTGTCGTGCCACTCGCCACCATCACCTCATGTTTGATAATGCACAGCCCCATGTCACAAGGATGATAATGCACAGCCCCATGTCGCAAGGATTTGTACACAATTCCTGGAAGCTGAAAATGCCCCAGTTCTTCCATGGCCTGCATACTCACCATTTGTCACCCATATATCACCCATTGAGCATATTTGGGATGCTCTGGATCGACGTGTACGACAGCGTGTTCCAGTTCCCGCCAATATCCAGCAACTTCGCACAACCATTGCAAAGGAGTGGGACAGCATTCCACAGGCCACAATCAACAGCCTGATCAACTCTATGCAAAGTACATGTGTCGCGCTGCATGAGGTAAATGGTGGTCAAACCAGATACTGACTGGTTTTCTGATCCACGCCCCTACTTTTTTTTTTTAAAGGTATCTTTAATATCTGTATTCTCAGTCATGTGAAATCCAGAATTAGGGGTCATTTTAAGCTTTTATACAAAATGTCTGCTAGTGGTGGTAACCAATATTGATAATTCAAAAAGATATTGATAACTTTGATATTGGTTTATTCTCCCTGTTAACCTACACTATTATGTAAAAAAGCATACATATGACTGTTCCTGCATCCACAAAACCATCTCACCGACCTCACAGGCTGTCACATTAGGAAAGTCTGTTTAATAATAAGTTACCAGACAACCGGCAGAGTAAGTTGAAATTCAATTTTATTTAACTTCTGGCTTCCCAAAGACTGTTCAGTTTTTTGCAAGCTAATTACTAGCAATGCTGGTGAGTATGTGTATCAGTTTTCCGACGCCAAACCCACCACTGGTGCGTGTGGCCAAAGAGCTCTATTTTCTTGTCATCTGACTATAGCACCGCCTGGAGTTTGGCACAGCATTGGCACTTGGATTGGAACCGGTGCTATGGTCAGATGTCAAATTAGAGTTATTTGGCCACGCACACCAGTGGTGGGTTTGGCATCGAAAAACGGAAGTACTGTATATGCAGAAAAGTTCCTCATATCTACTGTAAATATGGTGGTGGATCTTTAATGTTATGGGGCTATTTTTGCTTCCACTGGTCCAGGGGCCATTAAGGTCAATGGCATCATGAACTTTACCAAGTACCAGGATGAAGGATATCAAAGATCTGTAAAGATTCTGTATGGAGGAATGGTCTAAGATCCCTCCCAATGTGTTCTCCAATCTCATAAAGCATTTTAGAAAAGGTCTCAGTGTTGTTATTCTCGCAAGGGGAGGGTGCTTGAGTGTTGAAAACAGAGGTGCCAATCCTTTTGACCCCTATCTTTTTAACTTCTAAAACAAAATCTCTTTCTCTGAGCAATTGTATTACTATAAAATTACATAATTTCTCTCTTTTCTTGCATACAATATACAGCAAATTAGTATTTTAATTATTTATTTTATAGTATTTTTTGCTCATCTTTATCAAGGGTGACAATAATTTTGGACCTGACTATGTCAATACACCAGCGTTGCTGATAGCAGCTAGGTGATGGCATGTTGAAGTTGGTAAGCCAGCAGGGTTTGTGGAGCTCATGAGGAGGATGCTTAATGCCACACTTTTCAGGAAGGGAGTTAGTAGGGTTATGGAATGTTGAAGTTGGCAAGCTGACAGCATGTTTGCTCTGCTTTCATATTTTCATTATATGAGGGGTGATGTCATATTTCTTCCTAATGGTACGTAACAATAGCCCTACATTTTGCGGTTTAAAGACACCCCCATTTGCATATTCCCGTAGAAGCTTCACGACCAAAAACAACGAATTAACAATCACATCATCTTTAGTGTACCCTTTATTTCTATCCCACCAGTCTGATCCCGAGCCTTGATCCTACCCCTATGGTTGATTAATTCTCCCCAATTTCACTTTCAGATACTGGCTACATTACAAGGGAATAAAGGGGGATCTCACCGTTTCCTATGTCATATAAAACAGGCACTGATGGCTGCTGGATGACAATAGGGAAGACAGCCTCATGGTGTTCAAACGTGAAGTGAGCTGGTGAAAGAGCAGGGAAGGGTGGTGTCATATGATGGTCTCAGATCATGTAGAGAGGAAGACATGGGTATGGTAGGAAACCTGGATCTACGGCCTTACCCAGGTCTCCAGTCCTCATCCGGTACACAGTGCTGGTGTAGGTCATTCGTCCCAGAAGATTGTTGAGGTCAGATAGGCTGGTAGACTGGACAGTGATCTCTTGCTCTCCCTGTCCCTCTTTGTCCCCCTCTCCAAGGGCCTCGATGGCCAGGACACCACTGGACACACTCAGAGTCACCTGCAGGTACATAACACCATAGCATTTTCATAGACTGAGGTCAAAGGTTGAGAAGATGGACCATCTTCCCCTTCTATGGAACTTATGTGACTGTACAGTTGTTGAATCAATGTGGTTCCTGTTAGCATCTGCATACTTCTTTATCTAATCAATTAAGTTCCTCAAAGGTGTATTAAAACAAAGTTGTGTTGTTAGAAGTTAGATTGAACCAGAACAAGGAGCACAGAACTTGTAGGCATTTCTGTCACTGTACACAAATGTGAAAAATAGATGAAGTAATTTGTTCTACATGGTAAAACTTTAATTTGAAAATGTGCCTTTAATATTTGTGTAACTGTCTGTGGATAGGCAGTTAGCTAGCTAAAAGATTTGAAATAACCTTGTCAATCCTGTTCATATCAGTGCGGTCTCAAACAGACATACCGTAACTGAGGAATGACCCAGTGGGGAAAAAACGATTTACTGCGAAAAGGAAAGGAAGAGAGGGAGAACCGGTGTGATGGTACTGATGATTTGTTGCCACAGATGGTTTGTTTACATAGCAGGTTAGGAACATTAACGTGGCAAATAGGTTAGGGAAAGCGTTAGCTACATTGCTACAAACAAAGCCGTTGTAGGCCTTCTCCATCTAGCCACAACAGTAGAAACGTATACAAACCATCTGTGGGACAAATCAGGAGTATCATAACACCGGGACTAAAGTAACACAGGGCGAAAGTAACATGTCCATTTTCTCAAATAACACAGAAGCTGTAATGATGTAGTGAAGTCAGCACGTTCCTAATGCGGAGGACGACCTCCCTACAAAAAAGCTGCCAAATCCGGCCAGAAATGTTTTTTGGTTGTAGAGCTGTGCTTACATATGTCGTTTTCTTAACCCATCTAGTGACTAAACAACAGCATAGGTTTTAAGTATCATGCTAGCTAGTCTTGGGTGTTAGCCTGGAAGAAGTTACAGGAGAGACGGGTGGGACGAAATGTCAACTGATGACCTGGAATAAAATAATTGTTTAAGCGCTGGCCATTGTCTCCTTTAGTTAAAATTACTTTCATAATGTTATCAAAATATCAACAAGTGACTACATTTTTTAAAATTACATGACATAATTAGAATTGTGCCTTTTTATTTTGATTGATTAGCTTCTCACAATATGCTTTTATCAACAGGTTAGTGGTCAAAAAAATATATCTATGATTCTGGGGGTCAATTACCTCAAGCCATGGAAATGTGATAAGCATGATGAGTTTTCCATTTGGGAAGAGAATAAATACGTTTATTCTATCAAGACACGAGGAGCACGCATGACAAAGACATCTGGAGCGCATCTGATTGGTAGGGCTAAACATGAATAGTCATTGAAAATTCCCATTAAAGAGATGATGGTTAATATAGCTTTTATGTGATCACTTTAGTCTGATTCATGTTGACGAATGGTTAATTCTCATGAATTTCAAAACCATATACTTATTTATTGAATCGACACAAACTAGAAACTATGGCTGATAGTACATTTGTTGAAAGTAACGAGCATTACAAACCAGAAAAATTTTAATAAGACATATTGTGCACTTTTGTCCAGCTGTTAATTTTCCAAGCCTGTGTTAGTTTAGACCTGCCTGGCAGGTACAAAAGTAGCATTGTGCTAGTTTCGTTCTCGTTTTATTTATTTTAATGTAATTTACCTTAGACATAATTACAGTTGCTAATGGTAGAGGACATATATACTGTAAGTTGTTTATCATAAAATATGGTTTCTCTAACTCTATCGATCTCTGAGTAAATAGGAAAAAAACGGTGTTACTTTCATCCCGGGACTACCCTACGTCAAGTAAACGCTAAGCAGAAAATGGTAGATATGACACCTGATGTAAAGAACCACCACCAAAAAGAGCAGGTAACTCTTAACATTAAGGGTAAAATTGACTTTGTTTGTATCCTGCGTTTGTCTGTACGATGGCCTTAGCCATAACATACACTGCATAATTTATGTCAATAAATATCCTTACTGTAAAGTCTTACCAAAGATTCCAATCAAACACCAACAAACAGTTGTTTATTACAACATGGGGAAAATAAGACCCTCAAGCCCATTATCCATTCAAAGCATTTCGAACCAACCTTGTAAATTTGTCTTTTTGCTGCATGGAGAGCTAAACCTGAAATAATATTTTTATAGAACAATTGAAAGATGGAGTTACTAATCTATTGTGTAACTGCTTTGCAAAGAACATACTATATACAGTTATTCTTTACTGATGATGGACGGTACATAAACAAATGGTTCTTGCATAGGCTACCTGGTATTAATGAAGAGGGACAACAGTGAACCCCTGGATTGGATACTGAAGAGGAGAGTTGGATTGAGCAAAGATGAGCCTGTTCAGACTGGAGCTTGTCCTAGGAGATTATCAAATGGTCCCATAAATGTTTCCTGTGTACAGCACCTAGGCCGTCCGCATGTGCATATTTAAGATATAACAAACAATTTAGTGGATATTCTTCCTTTCTTGAAATGGAAGAATATCATGTCCTGAAATGACCTGGTTGCCAGTGTAACGGAATTAAGAATGTGCAATAAACTAACTCCACAGTTAGCTTGAAATGTTGTTAAGGAGGACGTTCACGAGTGTTGCGAAGCAGAGGTCCCGAGTTCGAGCCAGGTATGAGCCGAATCGGGGAGAAAAGGGTTACTCGCTAAGCAAGCTACGTGATGTCCGTAACACCAGGTTACATTTGTAGTATTTTCACCCACCTGATATGATGCTTCTTGTACTCTTCAGCTCTTCGTTTGACTATGTCATCATACTGGTCTTTTGGAAGGTGATCTTTCAGTTCAAACACTCCGTTTCCCTGACAAATGCAATTGGGTTGTCTGGGACTGGTGGATGGTAAGGCTCTATTGATTCACAGGGACAAATCGAAAATAATCTACAAGAACTGGACAGGTTCCATTGCTGAAGATAGAGGCCCAATATACAATTTTAAAACTGGTACAGTACTTTATTGATTTTCACAATGGCAGAACTCTTAAAAACAAGTGTATTGTACCTTTACATTTTGAAATGTAATTTGAAGTGATTTCAGGCTTCACCATAACTGATGGAAGTCTTCAAACCAAAAGTTAAAACAAACAGCAGCTGAAAAATAAAATGTACCTTATTTGCTGAGGAACACATTTATCTGTGTCTTCCTCTGTTGTGCAATAGTGGTGTATGAAGAAGGACATCACTGATGCTGACAGACAGAGGACAAGTGCCTGCTTGCATCTACCCATCTGTAGAAGACTGCCCATCTGTAGAAGACAAGAGCATCAAATTCTGACCAGGGAAGCAATGTAGAATCTTGAAGGGGCTACCCACTGGGAACAAACTGGTTGAATGAACATTATTGCCATCCTAAATATATATATTGGATTTGCAAAAAGTCGTCAACCTAAAGGAATTTCGTGGATTTCTTAACCTAAATCCAATGACAAGGTTCCACTTTTTGTTAATTTCACTTTTAAGTTTTGTTAGTTGACAACTCAATCAAATGTAAATCAAAACTAGACCTTAAACTGACGTCTGTGCCCCGTGGGTAATATGCTGTAGGCATAATAGCTCCTGCATATGCTTGCTCACTCATGAATTACAGCTCTGCTTCTAACCCTTCACTTCCCTGTGAAGGGTTAGTAGCAGCTAATCTTTTTGGGGGGCGGGGGGCAAAAGATTTAATCACCACGTTTCCAACCACCATTTTTATGCAAGTTTTCATGCAAATAAAGTCATACCATACTAAAACAAAAAGTAATGACAGCTGTGATGGATTCAGGAAGTTTCGGTACAATTTTATAAATGCCGACCGAATTTGTTCGTTGACATGGTGGGATCTTTTTGTGTCTGTAAAATTAATTATGCAAGAAATGGCGGTGGAAACGTCTTTATGCGCAAATATTGATATCATAACCATCTTGGAGTCAGGCGAGGATATGGTGTATGGTCCTCCCACTACAACTCGGGAAACGGGTTGGGCCATCCCGGGTTTATGATTTGCGCAACATTGTCGCCTTCTGACCAACCAGTGGCAGTTGCTGTGGTGCGAGAGAGAAGCGTGCCTGTATCTCTCACAGAACCAGAATGAGATTAACTTTCTATGATATTTCCCTCTCTCTGCTCTGATACATGAGCCTGCAACATTCCATGGGTTATTTGAATCAGTAACGTTACATCACACACACGATCTCTAGCCAGTTGTGCACCCCATACTGAATTGTCAAAAGCCACGCACCCTCGTTTTCCGGTTAAGCGCACACACACACAGCATTGCTACCTCATTAATAATATATGTACTCACATGTCCAGGGTTTCTGGTTTTCTTTTATATTCCAGTATTGAATGACTGTCCCGGTCAGGAAAGTTATTTTTTGCAGATACAGTGCGGGCAGGCTAGCCTACATGATGAGATTATTATGGATAAGAGCGAGATTATTATATTGATCATCATTTCACCAGAATAAGACCATCAACCATGGACGGCTTGTTCAATAGGGCGATATGGGCGACGCACTGCCAAACGGGAAAAGGAAGGGATTTTTTTTCTAATCAATTATATCACGGCAACAGCAGTTATCAGTGTTCACGTCTGATCTGCCAGCCACTAAATGTCAAATCAGGCTAAAGTCGTGCTTCAAATGGCCCCGCCCGTTTTTTGGGCGATTTCAGTCAGGTTGAAAATCGCCCAGAAGTCTCTCATAGCCTGTCATGTAAAATCTATTTTTTTCACATTTCAAAGCTTTCAATACATTCTCTATGGGTGTCTGTGTGCATGCACTTACGCGCTTTCGTCATACGTGACGTAACGTTGAACGTAACTAAGACAATGGCGGCTATCAGCGTCTATGTTGCGACCTGCAGTGTGGCGTTATTTTATGTTTTTAATTTGTAGACTTAGTTTACAAACATTCTGCAAACATTCTGCTTTGGACTGATCTTCGGTTTTGGACTGATCTTGTTGATCGTGTACATACCCGCTACGAACGGACTAAATAATGAAAACGCTGCTGGCAGCGGAATCCCAATACAGCTGGGAGACTTGACTGGATGACAGAGTCCCGGACAGAGAGGTGGAGCCGGCCACCTTCACCCTGGTCAGAGCGGACCGCGATCCTGGTAAGAGAGCGACTCTGTACCCCGACATTGAACTGCTTTCTGTGTCATTGAACCTTACTATTGTTGATAAAACAAGTTTACTGGAGAACAGAGAAAAAGTAGAGACTTTTGGACAAGGTGGATAATTGTATAATATAAGGCAGTTTATTCAGAGGTAAAGATATCTGCAATCGCGTGCACGGACCCGTTCGTCAAACTCGTAGGGAGTTTATCAGAAGAGCCCCTAAACATTGTGTGCTGACATTTTATACAATAAAATGAAGTAGGTTGAATCTAGTAGTTCTGATCTTCTGATTGGTCCTGATGAGTTGGGCGATGTCACCTCCAGGCTAGTGTCACTGTTGCATTGGCTCTGAGTCGGGTTCTCTGTCTTCAGATGTTCAGCCTAAGAGAAGAGGATTTGTGTGTGTGTGTGTGTGTTTGTTATCAGTGTGTGTGTGTGTGTGTGTGTGTGTGTTTGTTATCAGTGATGATGTGTGTGTGTGTGTGTGTGTGTGTTTATCAGTGATGATGTGTGTGTGTGTGTGTGGGTGTGTGTGTGTGTGTGTCCTCAGGGCAAGAACTCGTGAGTTGGAAGAACTGAGAGACCTATGGCGTGGGTGTTATCCTTAGCCACCTGCTGACAAGGCTGACAAGATAGGACTCTTGTTCATTGTATTGAATACAAAGGCCCAACACAAAATGGGTCATGCACAAGATTTTAGTCAGACCAAGCTATAACATTATATATTTACTACGACAGTACATTCAACCAAAAGCTAATATAACAAAGGCATCAGAGATTATTTATAATCTGTCACAGAAACTGGAATCCATCTCCCCAGATCAGTCAATAAATGCTTCTGGTATTGACTTATATGCTGCCCCTGTCTTCATGTTGTTGCTGGACATATCTTTTTAAAAATGTGTGTAGGTCACCTAAATCATCAGAAAAATTGCCCCTCCTGAGAATTTTTTCAGGAGCCGCCACTGCCATCAACACAGCATTTTCACCACCCTGTGAAGTTCATAACACATTTTATCTGTAGCCTAATAAACTGCATGCTTTCTTGAGTCATAGTGGGGGGACCACACAATACCATCGCGTGTTTAATAAGATGGTTATATAAATATTTGCCGCATAAAGGCGTTTCACCGCCATTTCTCGCATAATTACCAACACAAAAAGATCCCACCTTGTCTAGTATATTTCGTTTTGTCGACATTTGGAAAGTTTACCGACAGATTTGCCTGTCATGTCATTTTTTATCCGACACATAGGCTACTTTACTCACATAAAAAGGTTGGATGGAAACCTGGCTAGTGAAACTCCGCGCACTTCTAGTTGTAGGCTACAATCTTATTTTAGGTTTGTGGTGCGTGGACCAAAAAGTCATCGTAATGAATAGAAAAAATAGCAAGTTTGGGAGAGTTGATCTAAGAGGAATGCATTTGTTATATTCTTTTTTTAATTTATTTTATCAACCGACTTTTAAGAACGGCTTACAGATCCTTATTGGATGGATAAACCACAATACATGTAAATTGTATAGCCAAATGTAAATACAAAAAAAGCTGTTATAATAATATAGCCATAGCCCTGTAAATAGTAGGCTATGCCAAATTCATGATATTAATAATACACATTTACATAAGACAATATGCAAATGTGAACGTTCACTATTAATTTAATGAATGTTCCATAGATCTACTATTTAGGCCTAAAGGGCTAATTATATGTATCGGATGTAGACAGTGTCAAAGTAACAAAAGTGTATTACAAAAACAGGGGGCAGGCAAAAGACAGGTCAAGGGCAGGCAGAGGTCAGTAATCCAGATCAGAGTCCAAAAGACACAAAACGGCAGGCAGTCTCAGGGTCAGGGCAGGCTGAGGTCAATAATCCAGATCAGAGTCCAAAAGATACAGAATGGCAGGCAGTCTCAGGGTCAGGGCAGGCAGAGGTCAATAATCCAGGGTGGTGTGACAAGGTACAGAACAGCAGGCAGGCTCAGGGCAGGCAGAATGGTCAAAACCAGGAACTTGAGCAAGGGGAAACCCGCTGGTAGGCTTGAAGAAACAAAACGAACTGGCAACAAACAAACAGAGAACACAGGTATAAATATACTCGGGATAATGGGGAAGATGGGTGACACCTGGAGGGGGGTGGAGACAATCACAAAGACAGGTGAAACAGATCAGGGTGTGACAATATGCCTTGAAGCAGAGCCTACTAGTCTATACAAACAGAAAGCCTATATCAACAATTCTAACTACATGTTTAAACTGCTTGGTGAAAAGTAAGGCTAAAATACAAACCTTTTTGCAGACAATTCTACAATGGTCCAGTCTGTCCTGTCATTTAACTTTTGAAAAAAGAACATCTACAGCAGCTGTGATCAGAGGGTAAACCAAAGATTATGGATATATTGACAAGATACACGTCTCTCTGCCCTAACAATGGGAGTCGTTGTCAGCAAAGTATCACAGCGGCTGTCTAGCTCCCGCCTATCCCTTCTTTTAGATTGGTGTATATGTCATTATTGTAATAATTTTCTGAATATTCGATGAGGGTTGTTGACGTCAACTGCCTGTATTCAATGGAGAGAGATGCTATTATTTTGGTGCTTTGAGAGGTACAGTCCGTATCCTTCTGCCCCCTCTCTGACATCTGATAGAAAATGCACCTAGGCTATGCAAATTAGATGTGTACGTGTTTTAGGCATGCTGCTGAGACACGGAGTCGCATCCTTGCTCATCGCACATTACTGTGCTTCAAAAACGTCACATAGGTAAGCAATACTTATGTGAGCTGTTTTATATTGCTTTATAAGTATTTAGTATAACGTAGTTCCATGGGTAATGGTGTTAAAGTGATTATTGAAAATATGTTAGTATTTACAGTGCATTCGGAAAGTATTCAGACTAGTTTTTTTCCCTCATGAATCTACACACAATACCCCATAATGACAAAGCAAAAACAGGTTTTTAGATTTTCTTCTCTGCAGATCCTCTCAAGCTCTGTCAGGTTGGATGGGCAGCATCGCTGGTCAGCTATTTCCAGGTCTCTCCAGAGATCTTAGATCGGGTTCAAGTCCGGGCTCTGGCTGGGCCACTCAAGGACATTCAGAGACTTATCCCGAAGCCACACGTTGTCTTTGCTGTGTG